AACACTTAGTACAAAGGAATATTGTAATCACAACTCTTAGTACAAAAGAGTATTGTAATCACAACACTTAATACAAAGAAATATTGTAATCACATTAGTTAGTACAAAGGAATATTGTAATCACACTAGTTAGTACAAAGGAATATTGTAATCACATTAGTTAGTACAAAGGAAAATTGTAATCACAACTCTTAATACAAGGAATATTGTAATCACAACTCTTAGTACAAAGGAATATTGTAATCACATTAGTTAGTACAAAGGAATATTGTAATCACATTAGTTAGTACAAAGGAATATTGTAATCACAACTCTTAGTACAAAAGAATATTGTAATCACCTTAGTTAGGACAATTGAATATTGTAATCACAACACTTAGTACAAAGGAATATTGTAATCACAACACTTAGTACAAAGGAATATTGTAATCACATTAGGTAGGACAAAGGAATATTGTAATCACAAAACTTAGTACATAGGAATATTGTAATAACATTAGTTAGTTCAAAGGAGTATTGTAATCATAACATTTAGTACAAAGGAATATTGTAATCACAACACTTAGTACAAAGATATATTGTAATCACAACATTTAGTACAAAGGAATATTAGAATCACAACACTTAGTACATAGGAATATTGTAATAACATTAGTTAGTACAAAGGAATATTGTAATCACAACTCTTAGTACAAAAAAATATTGTAATCACATTAGTTAGTACAAAGAAATATTGTAATCACAACACTTAGTACAAAGGAATATTAGTTAGTTCAAAGAAATATTGTAATCACAACACTTAGTACAAAGGGATATTGTAATCACATTAGTTAATACAAAGAAATATTGTAATCACAACACTTTGTACAAAAGAATATTGTAATCACAACACTTAATACAATGGAATATTGTAATCGCAACAATTAGTAAAAAGGAATATTGTAATCACAACACTTAGTACAAAGAAATATTGTCATCACAACGTTTAGTACAAAAGAGTATTGTAATCACAACACTTAGTACAAAGAAATATTGTAATCACATTAGTTAGTACAAAGGAATATTGTAATCACACTAGTTAGTACAAAGGAATATTGTAATCACATTAGTTAGTACAAAGGAAAATTGTAATTACACTCTTAGTACAAAGGAATATTGTAATCACAACTCTTAGTACAAAGGAATATTGTAATCACATTAGTTAGTACAAAGGAATATTGTAATCACGTTAGTTAGTACAAAGGAAAATTGTAATCACAACACTTAGTACAAAGAAATATTGTAATCACATTAGTTAGTACAAAGGAATATTGTAATCACACTAGTTAGTACAAAGGAATATTGTAATCACATTAGTTAGTACAAAGGAAAATTGTAATCA